ACAAATTAAGGGCTTTTTTTTTTTTTTTTTTTTTTTTGAGACAGAGTCTTGTTGTCGCCCAGGCTGAAGTGCAATGGTGTGATCTCGGCTCACTGAAACCTCCGCCTCCCAGATTCAAGCGATTCTCCTGCCTCTGCCTCCTGAGAAGCTGGGATAACAGGGCACCTGCCACCACTCCTGGCTAATTTTTGTATTTTTAGTAGGGACGGAGTTTCACTATATTGGTCAGGCTGGTCTCAAACTGCTGACCTCGTGATCTGCCCACCTCAGCCTCCCAAAGTGCTGGGATTACAGGCGTGAACCACTGCCTCTGGCCCAAATTAAGGTTTTAAAGAAAGTTTCATATTTATCAGCAATGAAACGACATTAACTTAAAAATTAATTGGTTGGGCGTGGTAGCTCATGCCTGTAATCCCAGCACTTTGGGAGGCCAAGGTGGGAGGATCTCTGGAGCCCAAGAGTTCGAGACCAGCCTGGGCAACATAGTGAGACCCCAATGTAGTGAGTACATCTTTATTTGATTCAATTTACATAAGATTCTAGAAAGTCCAAACCATTCTATAGTGACAGAAAACAGAGTCAGTAGTTGGGTAGGGCAGGGAGAGGCTAGAGAAAAGAATTACAAACGGGCACAGGTAAACTTTTACAGTATGATACATATGTTCACTATCTTGATCTTGGTGATGGTTTCACACATATATAGTTATATCAAAATGTGTTGAATTTTACACTTTAAATACTGTATGCCAAAATACCTCAATGAAGCTGTTTTTTAAAAATCTGGCAAAAAAGAGGGAGAGAGAAGGATAGAGAGAGAGGGAGAGAGAATATGAATGAATTCTAGGGTTTTTCTTACAATTCTTTCTTGTTCAAGGACACCAGATGGTGTCTGATTATAAACTTTTTTTTCCAGCACTTCGCTGCTTTTTTTTTTTTTTTTTGAGTTGGAGTCTCTCTCTGTCGCCCAGTCTGGAGTACAGTGGTGCAATCTCGGCTCACTGCAAGCTCCGCCTCCCGGGTTCACGCCATTCTCCTGCCTCAGCCTCCCCAGTAGCTGGGATTACAGGTGCCCACCACCACACCCCTCTAATTTTATGTGTTTTTAGTAGAGACGGGGTTTCATCGTGTTAGCCAGGATGGTCTCTATCTCCTGACCTCGTGATCCACCTGCCTTGGCCTCCCAAAGTGCTGGGATTACAGGCGTGAGCCACCGCGCCCAGTTTTTGCTGCATTTTAAAAATTTATTTTATTTATTTTTATTTTTTATTTTTTTCGAGACGGAGTCTCCCTCTGTCGCCCAGGCTGGAGTGCAGTGGCGCGATCTCGGCTCACTGTAAGCTCCGCCTCCCGGGTTCACGCCATTCTCCTGCCTCAACCTCCCGAGTAGCTGGGACTACGGGCGCCCGCCGCCACGCCCGGCTGATTTTTTGTATTTTTAGTAGAGACGGGCGTTCACTGTGTTAGCAGGATGGTCTCTATATCCTGACCTCGTGATCCGCCCGCCTTGGCCTCCCAAAGTGCTGGGATTACAGGCGTGAGCCACTGCGCCCGAACTTTTGCTGCATTTTTAACTGCCAAGATGGACTATAGGCTTAACTTTCTAGTCTTATGTAGAGCTGGCCTATAAAATCCTTCACTTCAGTTGGTCCTATCTCCTCTTGGACCTAGAATGCAGTTTATACTCTCCTTGTCTCTGCTTCCATTTCCTGGGATGTTTCCTTCATTCTAAATGATCCAAATTTTCTCTGTCCTTTCAGGCACAATGAAAGTAAGATGTATTTCATCTATCCTATCCTATTTCTGCAGAAAGAATTCTGTACCTTCTTCATGTTTCTCTAGTATTTGTAATCTAAACCACTCTTTTGACACCTATTTGCTGCCTTGTATTATTTGCTTTTTCAAGTGCATATGTCTTATCTTTCAGATTATGAACATCTTTGGGGCAAGGACTGGGTCATATTTATCTTTGTGTCTCTCCCAAGGCACTTAATAGGTGTGTAATAATGTCAATTTAAAACACCTCACTTTTAGTCTTTCCAATGCACTTTCTCAGCCATTATCTCATTTGATCATTACATCAACACTATGAGATTGGAGGAGTTAGAAATAAGTTATTTCCTCCTTTTGACAGATAAGGACCCTGAAGCCCAAGGTCACACAACTTGTAGAGACAGAGATGGAACAGATAATTGCACATGAAGGTCTGATCCAATTCAAGGCTTCTTTGCATCACTATCCTCTCTGTCCTGCTACCTGAAGACAGCCTGCTGCATCCTTCACCCCCTCATTCCCCAAAGTACTTTAGCCAAAGTTTTGTAGTACCATATTAGAGAACTTGACAAATCTGGGAGACAAAATTTCAGTAGATTTCTGATCAGCTCTGAGTCACCAAAGCATACTTGCTATTTTGTTCCAAGTGCCGTTTGCTACGGACATTATGCCTGATATTTAACGTTGCTGTGCTACAGAGTTGAGGAAGCATAAATGATTTTTAAAAGCTTTGAGAAAATGACAGCAGTTCAATATTAAGCATGAAAGGTGGCAGCTGATGAGCTGACCAAGAATACAAAATTTCTTCACTGGACCACACCATTCCTCTATGTATATTAATAGAATTCTCTAGCTGGTACTGAAGGAAAAGGTGAAACTCCCCGTCTCTCAGCACACCTAATGGAGATTCCTTCCCTACCACTCCAGACTATTACCTTATCTGATGTAAGGGATGAGATACACTTGGCACAGTTTACTTAGCATTGCATATTTTCTTTCTTTTTTTTTTTTGTAGAGACGGGGGTCATCTCACCATGTGGCCCAGGCTGGTCTCGAACTCCTGGGCTCAAGAGATCCTCCTGCCTTGGCCTCCCAAAGTGCAGGGATTACAGGCGTGAGCCACTGCACCCCGCCTATTTTCTTTATATTTAATTTTTATTTATTTTAATTTTTTTTGAGACCGAATCTCACTTTGTTGCCCAGGCTGGAGTGCAGTGGCACGATCTCAGCTTACTGCAAACTTCGCGTCCTGGGTTCAAGTGATTCTCCTGCCTCAGCCTCTGGAGATAATTTTTTGTATTTTTAGTAGAGAAGAGGATCTCACCAGGTTGGTCAGCCTGGTCCCAAACTCCTGACTTCAGGTGATCCACCTGCCTCAGCCTCCCAAAGTGCTGGGATTACAAGTGTGAGCCACCGTGCCCAGCTCTTTATTTTTTAAAATTTATATTTTTAAAATAATTCACTGAAGGTGGGGGTGGGAATAAGGGTTGGGTTTAAGATTAAGACAGGTGGGCCGGGCGAGGTGGCTCATGCCTGTAATCCCAGCACTTTGGGAGGTGGAGGCGGGCAGATCACGAGGTCAGGACATTGAGAGCATCCTGGCCAACATGGTGAAACGCTGTCTCTACTAAAAATACAAAAAAAATAGCTGGGCGTGGTGGCATGCACCTGTAGTACCAGCTACTTAGAAGACTGAGGCAGGAGAATCGCTTGAACCCAGGAGATGGAGGTTGCAGTGAGCAGAGATTGTGCCACTGCACTCCAGTCTGGCAACTGAGCAAGACTCTCCGTCTGGGGGAAAAAAAAAGATTAATTGGCAGTGAAAGATATTTGGCAGGGCAGATTGCTTGAGGTCAGAAGTTCGAGACCATCCTGGCCAATATTGTGAAACCCTGTCTCTACTAAAAATACAAAAGTTAAGGGCGAGGCGGGCGGATCACAAGGTCAGGAGATGGAGACCATCCTGGCCAACACGGTGAAACCCCGTTTCTACTAAAAATACAAAAAATTAGCCGGGCGTGGTGGCGGATTACAGGGTGGCAGCTATTCGAGAGGCTGAGGCACAAGAATGGTGTGAATCCGGGAGGTGGAGGTTGCAGTGAGCCGAGATCGCGCCACTGCACTCCAGCCTGGGCGACAGAGCCAGACTTTGTCTAAAAAAAAAAAAAAAAAAAAATTAGCCAGGCGTGGTGGCTTGTGCCTGTAATCCCAGCTACTCGGGAGGATGGGGCAGGAGAATCGCTTGAACCCAGGAGGTGGAGATTGCAGTGAGTCGAGATCGTGCCACCGCACTCCAGCCTGGGCAACAAGGGCAAAACTCTGTCTCAAAAACAACAAACAAACAAACAGGCGAATGAGGAATGAGCGCTAATAGGGAGTCTGTGGTGGGAATTCGAGAGGAAGCTGACCCTGAGGAAGCTGCGTATGGTGCCCCGCATGGGCTGGACTGGGCTGGGCGGGCAGCGCCTCCGAGCCAGGCCCTGGTGAGGAGACTCGCAGGGCGCGGCGTGGGTGGCAGGTCTGGGAAGGTTCCGTGAACCATTGGGACAGGTTTAGACCCCACAAATGGCGACCTCGAACTTAACCCTTTGTGCCTCAGTTCTCCCCCTCTGTAAAATGAGTATGATGGTGACTTTCTCACAGGACGCTTTGAGAACTAAATGAGGCCTGGCAGGGCGAGGTGGCTCACGCCTGTAATCCCAGCACTTTGGGAGGCCGAGGCGGGTGGATCACGAGGTCAGGGGATCCATACCAGCCTGGCCAAGATAGTGAAACCCCGTCTCTACTAAAAATACAAAAATTAGCCGGGCATGGTGGCGGGCACCTGTGGTCCCAGCTACTCGGGAGGCTGAGGAAGAGAATTGCTTGAACCCGGGAGGCGGAGCTTGCAGTAAGCGGAGATTGCACCACTGCAACCCAGCCTGGGCGACAGAGCGAGACTCCGTCTCAAAAACAAAACAAAACAACAACAAAAACTAAACGAGGCAAGGCAAGCAAAATGCTTGGCCTAGTGCCTAACTCATCGTAGGCCCTCAATAAATGTTAGCAATTACTACCATTTTCTCAGCATCTGCCCTTCACTGGAGAGGCACTAAGGAGAAGGGGCAAAAAAGCCTTTCCGAGACCATCCTGTTTCCCAGTCCGGGTTCCACAACCCGAGCGTGCGAACCCAGGGCGTTGGGAACCCAGGGCGCGCACCCGTTGAGGGGCGGGGCCTGCCGTTCCCGCCTCGAGTGTGGCCCCGCCTCCACCTCCTTCGACGCAGCCTCTAGTGCACTTTCGGCTCCTTCCCTTTCCCCGGCCTTCCAGCTTGATCTTTCCGGGCCTCACTTCCCCCAGCCCCTGCGCCGGGCCCGAACGAGAGGTTCCGGAGCCCCGCTGCGGGCGGATTCTGGGGTGTAGACGCTGCTGACCAGCCCGCCCCAGCCGAGGTTCTCGGCACCGCCTTGAGAGCTTCAGCTGCCCCAGGGTGTGCAGGTTTGCTTTAGAAGGTCGGCGGGCGGGGCTTCGGGGAAGAGGAGCTCGGGGAGAGTCATTCCGGCCAGTCCCCGGCCTCCACGGCCGGAGAGTCGTCGCCCTTGGGAATCTTTGGCCGCCCAGACAGAAGGGAAGTAGGCGCGGGAGAGCCCGTTCTGCATTTTGATTCATCTCGGGCCCTGTAAGGGTCATATCTTGTGAAAATACCTGTAAAATCAATTTAACGTTCAGTGCAGCGTGTAAAGACAGCTCTAAGAATTTAAAAGACGTCTGAGTCAACATTTAAATGCTTGGGTCCCTGTAACAGCGTTTTAACACGTCTGAGTGCAGAGGGTGGAGAATCGAGCCTGATTGCGGTTCACGCCCTGTAACCTTTAAGAAGAGTCAAGAAAGGCACCCTAAAAAACGCAAGGGGACACTTACCCTAGGGAGGGACGAACAGCTGGCTTTTTGAAATTTGGGTTGGTCCTCATTTCCAAGTGCGAAATTTGCCTGCAAAACTTTTTATTTGCAGTCATAGATCAACGATAAACAGAATTGTTAAAACACTGAGCTTAACTAAGTAGTGGCTTTTGTTGACAAGTCGATTGTGTTATTAATTCTTAATGTCTCGTCCAAGGCAGGAATTGTTATCTCAGTTTTGCAGGCGGAAAAAGTTTGGCACAGAAAAAAGCATTTTCCTTAAGTTCACAGAAGCAACGGCCTAGCTGCAAATTAAGTCCCAGCATTCTGCCTTCTCAGCTGCGTCCCCCTCTAGACCATGTTAGAAAACAAATGAGTAGTTACTTTGATGTTACTCATAAAACGATCGAGTAAACCAAATGTTCTATAAACATGAAGCGTTAAATCATAATAACCTTCAATGCCTCTTCGGCTTTGGGAGGCTCAGCTGCCCTTTGGAGTTTGATACCTTACACAGAAAAGGGGCAGAGCAAAAACATGTAATGTCAAGGGAAAATTTTTGTCTCCTGAGGCCAAACTGTGCACATCTTTACCGCCCCTGTGTTGGTGTCATTCCTTTCAGCGAACTCCATGTTCTGGCAAAACACCCACAGCAGTCCCCGCTGCAGCCACATTAGGCCTTTGCATTACTCTTTTGCCACTGACCTCACTGTCAGTCTTCCTGGCATGCTCTTTCCTCCAGGTTCTTTTTAGGCTGTTATGTGAAAACCAGTTGTTGTTCAAGTGTGGAATGATTTGTCATTCCTGAAGGATGATTCTAGAATTAACGATTAAAAAAACTACCAACAGATCTTAGATGAAAGTTAAAGAAGCACGAAAAAAGTATTATGGAATATGATAGCTGAGTTATTTGGGGGGAAAAAGTAGACTTTGATTTTTTTCCCTTTTCCCTCAGTTCACTCATAACTGGGAAGCTGCAGCTCAGTTTTAACTTTGGCATAATGGTGGTGGTGGTGGAGAATCCTCTTGTTTAGACTCAGTGAATTGGAAAGCTCTCTTTTTAGGAGGCTCCTTTTGGACAGCTTGGAGCAAGTGGAAACATGTGTGTGCTTAGAATGTGACATGTTTTGGCACTTGCAAATTTGTTTGTCCATAAAACTTGTGTAAGAGCTTGGGACCCAGGGTGGGTGATACAGGCCCTCTATAAAAGTCATCCTTGAGGTTTCTTTCCAGCTTGTAGACAACAGAAATTTGAACCTAAGATAGTGTCCTTGAAGTAGCCAACTGTTCATTCATCTTTTTGTTTTCTTTCACTTGGTTCCACAGATTAGAATCCCAAGAAAATCAAATGGCATCTGGGGATTTCTGCTCACCTGGAGAAGGGATGGAAATACTTCAACAAGGTAAGAGTAGTCATTTGCAAAAGGTTTGATGATTTATCCAGAGAGGTCTTATCCAGGTTCTTGTGTTTTCTAGTAAAAAGGATTTATTGGCTCACACCTGTAATCCCAGCCGCCACTTTGGGAGTCGAAGGTGGGCAGATTGAGGTCGGGATCGAGACCATTTCCTGGGTACAGGTGAAGCCCGTTTTCTACGTAAAAATTACAAAATAGCTGGCCATGGGGGGGCAGCCTGTTTCCGGCCCAGCCTACTGGGAGCGTGAGGCCAGGGCATGGCATGAACCCGGGAGTGGGGCTTGCAGGTGGCTGAAGATCGGCCACTGCATCCAGCCTGGGAAAGCGGAGCAGGATCCCCGTTCCAAAAAAAAGAGTTTCTAAGTTGCCCCCGCAGCCTTGTTTTTCCTCAGCAGAAGCCTGGTTCTGGGAAATGGAATACATGGAGGATTCCCTTGGAGACACTCTCGTTGTACTGGAAAGAAACAACTATATACTTTCTGTTATTGTGTGGTTCAATATGTGCTTTTTGTAGTTAGACTTAAAACTCAGATGCGTCCATGCTGGATGTTAGCCAGGCGTGATTATAAAAATGCAAGAGGTAGGCGCATGTCGGTTGAAGGCCCGTGCGAGATTCGCTACCGTGTCTTAAAAAGATAACGTTGGTCATTGCTTGTGAGTCCTCCAAAGTTTCAGCATCTGTTTATATGTGAGTTGCATGTTCCATATCTCAAGGATCATTTATTGTATCTTGTCCTTCAAGGCTTGCATTTTTGCTATATCTTACTACTTTTGCAGTATTTGGATGCTTCAGTGACCTTAGGGAAAAAGGAGATTTGTTATGTTCTAAGAAGATTTGGAGGTATGATTGTTCAAAGAAGAAGAATTTGGGTGTTTAGGTAAAGTTAGAGTTAAGTTCGTGCCAACAGAAGCATGATGAATAAGAGAAATGGGGCAAGAAGTCCTGAGCATATGGAATCAGCCAGGGTCTCAATTTCTTCATTGTTTTCTATGCCTTGTGTTTTGGGGTATCTAACGATGGGCGGTGTGACTTTCTACTGCAGAATTATAAGAATGTTGGGAGCTGGCTGGGTATGCGGATGCCTATGCCTGTAAGTCCCAGCAGCTGATTGGAGGCCAGGGGGTGGTATCACTATGAGGTTGGAGTTTGAGACCAGGCGGACAATGGAGCACGGCTTACTAAGAATACAGGAAATTTTAGAGCGAGGGTGCGGTGGCCTCTAGGCCTGTTAATCCCAGATTTGGAGGCCGAGGCGGTGGGATGCACGATGTCAGGAGGATGCGAAGGAATCTGGCTAACGAGGAGCGGGGGCTGGACTGAACGGATGTACGGAATAAATAAAAAAAAAGTGTCCGGTGGATGGTGGGTGGCGGTGGCCCTGTAGCGGCGGGGGAGCTGGAGGCAGGATGTGTGAAGCCGGGAGCGGGTGCAGTGAGCTGAGATAGCGCCATGCACGTAGCTTGTTGGGCAGGTGAGCGCAAGGGAATGAAACAAACAAAGTAGTGCCGCGGCGGGGGGGCATGCCCTGTTAATCCAGTATCAGAGGAGGGCTGAGCAGGAGAATCGTTCTGAACCAGGAGGGGTTGCAGTGAGTTCCAAGTTGTGCAAATTGCACTCTAGCTGGGAGACAAGGCCAGGAAGAAGGAGATATTGTTAGGCCGAGCGCGTGTGGTGACTCACACCTGTAATCCCAGCACTTTGAGAGGCCAAGGTGGAAGGATCACTTGAGCCCAAGAGTTCGAGACCAGCCTGGGCAATGTAGTGAGACCCTGTCTGTAAAAAGAAAAAAAAAAATTAGCCAGTCATGGTGGTTTGCCTTGTAGTATCAGCTACTCAGGAGGTGGAAGGATTGCTTGATCTGGGGAGGTTAAGGCTGCAGTGAGCTGTGATTGTGCCACTGCACTCCAGCCTAGGTGACAGAGTGAGACCCTGTCTCAAGAAGAAAGAAAAATTTGGTTAGTTGAATGTTTAACTTACTCTAAGTGTATTCTGTTAGTCTTGTTTATGTGACTACACATCACATCCAAAGTTGGAACTTCACGTGTTGTTTTTTTCCCCCCTACTTCAAGAACTCTATTAATTTTGGATGAATGAGGCATTTCGTGCATTGTGATTCCTACTAATGGTCCCTTAATTTTTATTCTATTTGTCTAATATGTACCAACCGCATTTCCATTTCTTAAGATCTTAGTTTATTACTTATTCCCCCTTAATATCTTTATATATAATATAAATGCTTGTTACCTTGAATATCACCCCTAGTTTATTTGTGGATTTTAAAAAAACTCATTAGATTTAGCAATCTTTCCTATAAAAATCCAGGGGTTTTTTGGAAGTATTAAGTTATGCTCAATTATGTAAAGTAAGAGTCTGCATCTTTTTTGTTTTTTTGTACCTGTGGGGACATGATGTTAAGTGTGCAGCAAACAACTTCCTCCTTGTAACCTGAGTAAAGAGGACTTGTTACAGAACCCATACTTCAGCAAGCTTCTCCTGAATCTCTCACAGCATGTAGATGAGAGTGGCTTAAGCCTCACCCTGGCAAAGAAGCAGGCTCAGGTAAGGGCTTTGGAAGAAGAGATAAGAAGAAGTGAAAATCCTGAGAGAGAGAGAGGTTCCTACCTGAGATTTTTTGGATTTCTAGGCATGGAAGGAAGTTCGACTGCATAAGACAACATGGCTGAGGTCTGAGATTTTACATAGAGTCATTCAAGAGTTGCTTGTGGACTACTATGTGAAGATGCAAGACACAAATGTAACTTCTGAGGACAAAAAGGTGAGGCAAAGGCTGGGCGTGATGGCTCACACCTGTAATCCCAGCACTTTGGGAGCCGGATGCAAGCCCTGATCACTTGAGTCAGGAGTTGACGACAGCCCTGGCCTAACATCCAGGCTACTCACACCCCATCCCTACTAAACATATCAAAATTAACCAGCACCCCACTGGCACATGCTACTACAATCCAAGCTACTTGGCGCAGCTGAGGCACCCGGAGTACCTCGCCTTGAACCGTCCGGGAGGGCGGAGGTTGCAGTGGGCCAAGCATTGTGCACAGCACTCCAGCCTGGGTGACAGAGCAAGACTCAGTCCCTCAAAAAAAAAGTGAGGTGATAAGAAATCCAGGTACATATGAACTCTCAGTGCAATCTGTGGCTTTTGTTCTTAATGATGTGTGTTCTAGGGGAAGTATGGAGCTTTGAGATAATGGGTTGTCAGATAGAGAAATGGATCTGTTATGTATGGTATATGGAGTGGTGTTGTTATCAGTAGTTTGTATAATACAGGGATCATTGACAGGCATGTATATTTCACTCTTTGTCAGCTAATGTTTATTTCTGAGGGATGACTGACATATTTGAGGATTCTTGAAAATATGTGAAAAAATTTGTGTTCATTGAGGATTTGGAAGAGGTTGGTATGTGTGGATATTTTTTTATAGTTCACCTCTTTCTGTTTTATTCT